AAAAAAAAAAAAAAAAAAAAAAAAAAAAAAGAATGTAGAGTGAAGGTTTTAAATCTCAATTCCTAAGAGTTGTTTAGATTTTTATATAAGTGCTTGCTATATTCATCGCTATCTGTATCTTAAAGTAAAACGGCTTCAAGTGTCAAAACCGGACTCTTTACCATTAGAAACGCCCTGACATGGGGCCCTCTGAAGAAGAGGAACCAACTACTTTCTTTAGGAGTCGACCCTCATCCATTTGCGTCCTTCAGTTTGTTGCAATAGGAGAACAATATTCTTTTTTTTGTTTTGTTTTGTTTTGTTTTTTTCTTAGAGAACAATATTCTTTAGAATGGGAAAATTAATATGACCCAAACGTGAGTCAATGAAAGCAGCCTTAAGAGGCCAGCACAGTGGCGATGGAATGCCTGGGACACTCTGCCCACACGAAATCCTGCTTCAGTATTTATTTTTGTTCTCTAAGAATTCCCAAGAGCAAAATAACAAAACTGAAAGTAAAATGATGATTTGAATTTAAAATTACCATGATATCAGTCATGGTACCCATCACACCATCAAGAGGTCAGCCTTGATGGAGGACAGGATAAATAAGGATCAACTAGATCTCAGCTTTATACAGTCCTTCTATACACTGTACAGAATTAGCTATATTTATTTATTTATTCCAAATCAACTGTCTTATACCCTAAAACATAACTTTTTAAGTTTACTGACTTCAAGATAAAAGCAATTAGCATTAGATCTTTTCAAACAAACACATTATCATGTTTTTACATGTTTTACAGTGAGCAAAGACACTTTGATAGCCAAAGAAATCTGAGAAATATCAGAGTCTAAATCATAACTGGGTATTTACACTATAAATTACCACAGCAAAGGCTAAATTAACATATATTAAAAGAAAAAAGCGTTAATTTTTTTTTAAACACAACACTTTTGCAATTATATTTGACCCAGGAACTTTTATTCATGAAACATTGCAGAATATGCCTTAGTATCTATCCAATTTAGTTTCTGAACACTGCAACTAAGAAAATTATTAGGGACTCTTGATAAGAATGATTATAAAATTTTGATTTTTATTCATATAGCACTAAAGAAAAGCAATTCAAGTGATGAAAATTTAATGGACAGACACTTAAAAGTATCTACACTAGAAGGAGTGGACAGGACTGGAGAAGGAGAGGAGGGGAGGAAAGAAGAAAGAAGGGAAAGAGGTTAAGGAAGCAAGCAACCAAAGAACTAGTCTTGATCCCTGGGTCTCTTGCTGACTCTGACACTTCCTAGTCTAGTCTAGTCCTTCACCTCCAGTATGAGGACAGGTCTCATTAGAGGAGCTCCTGGGACAGCGCAGGAACCTTAGTGCTGTGATCTCACTGCTGCCTCCTTAGAGCTCGCTCACACTCACTCAGGAGCTGAGTGCTGCTTTTAATTCTAAGACTCTCATTCTCAAAGGGCCAGGAGAAAAAACAGAAGGAAGTAGCAGTGGGGGTGGAGAACTTGGGGAACCACTACAAAGTCCCAAAAGGAAGGGATGCAAGAAGCTCCCAGGACCCAGTGGGGACAACATTAGCCAAAATACCCAACAGTAGGGAAGAACCACGTGAAGAGACCACCTCCAGGAGACAGACATGGCCCCAGTGGAGGGGGATGGAGCTATCCATCCATCTAAAAATTAACCTAGAATTGACCCAGTGGAAAAGCAGGGACAAAACTGGAGCAGAGACTGAAGGAAAGGCCATCCAGAGATTGCCCTACTGTGCAATCCACTACATGTACAAACCCCAAACCCCAACACTATTGCTGATGCCAAGATGTGCTTGCAGACAGGAGACTGGTGTATAGCTGTCCTCTGACAGGTTCTGCCAGCACCTGACCGAGACAGATGCAGATACTCACCGCTGGCAATCATTGGACTGAGCCCAGGGACCCCACGGAAGAGTTGAGGAAGGGCTAAAGGACTGCCCTACCACCCCGTAGGAAGACCAACCAAAGAGTATACATGGGGCCAGTTCACTGCTCCTGCCACATATGCAGCAGAGTACTGCCTTGTCTGGCATCAGTGAGAGGTGAGGCGTTTGGTCCTGTGGAGGCTCGATTCTCAAGAGGAGGATGCTACAGGGGTGAGCCAGGCGTGGGGGGTGGTGGGTGGGAAATACGCTCTTAGAGGTAAAGGGGAGGGATTTGGAGTGGGGGGGTTCGTGGAGGGGAGACCAGGAAGGGGGATAACATTTGAAATGTAAATAAATCAAATGATTAATAAGGACAGTAGTGTAGACACAATGTCACCACCAGAAAGCTTCACCAAATCCTAGGAGGGGAAGCATTCCTGAAGCATTTATTGAAAGAATCACTACGCACGTACCTTGTGTCGTTCCACTGTCTTCATCATCCATCGTGAGATCAATGACACCACTTGAGTCATTGCTAGAAGCTTTTCCACTCTGAAAAATAAAACTTGGTTGATTCTGCAATCGAACTGGCAGCTGCTACGGAAATGTGTGGTAATAGTGAAAATGGTGTTTGACCAACAGAATTTTTACACCCAAGGAATGGAGACTGAAACAAACAAACAAACAAATAAACAAAAAAGAGGAAGAGGAGGAGAACTGGCTATCAAGTGGAGTTCAAACACCTGACTGAGGGCCAGCATAGTGGCTCAGCAAAGGCTCTGCAAGACTGAGCTCAAGCCCCAGAGAACTGACTTGTAGTTGTCCACTAATCTCGGTACTGTCATACCCACACTGTTATACCCCCAAACAAAGAAATGCAATACGACTTGTTAAGTGAGATTGGAACAGTTGAGTATGTGAAGAAATAATGACCTTCCTCAAAAAAAACTGGTGAAAACATCTACAATCCGAAAGTACCACCGACAGACAAGCAGAAAGAACACTAACACACTTCTACAGATATCATGGTGACACGAAAATCAACAAGGGAAAGAACATGGTGACCACGAGGAGAAAATTCCATGCTGCAGAGCATCGGAGAGCCACTGCTCCATTCAACAGTCCAGGCAGATGCTGCTCATTTTACTAAATCCTCTAAAAGCAAAAGTCCAAGGACAATAAAGCCTTCCCTCAGCAAGTTTGAGACTAGCCTGGGCTATGAAAGATCCCGTCTCAAAAAAGAAAAAATAAGCCCTGTAATTAATGATGTAAGGAAAACCCTAATTTTTGTTGATCAGAACATGATTCTGTGGCAAAGAGAAACAACTTACCTGTGATGTGCTATCGGCTGCTTTCTTATTAACAGTGGAATCTATTGTTTTGTTCGTCTGGTTTTCTGCAAATTAAACAAAAAAGGAAAATTTTAACACATGTATGATAAAAGGCCAGGCTGCTTTACACACATAATTGATGTATTCTTCTCCCATGATTTTTCTGTCAGCATGTTAGAGATATACATGATTTCACAGATCATTCTGTTTTAGAAGGCTAATTTACATTATAAATTTTTCTTTTACTTTATAAAAATTATTTCTTTATTTTATGTATGAGCATACTGTTGCTGTCTTCAGACAGAGCAGAAGAGGGCATCAGACCTCATTACAGATGGCTGGGAGAAACCATGTGGTTGCTGGGATTTGAACTCAGGACCTCTGGAAGAGCAGTCAGTGCTCTTAACCACTGAGCCATCTCTCCAGCCCTCACAATATAAAATGTCAAGCTTCATATACTTACTCATTACTGAGCAACTTAAACTATCCTAAAGAATACCTGAGAAATACAATTTGACATTTGTACAACAACCAGAATGTTCCATATGAGTAAATGGTTAAGCAAACTGCCACTCTTTCATATCATGTGTCTTTGGGGAAAATCTTATATAAAAAATGTTCATGATAAATTTAGTGCAGAAATTTACAGCAAGGATGGTAAACATATATACATGTATTAGTTTAAGTACAGACTGTTTCTCTTTGCGTGCTGTGCAGAAGCACATGCTTGTTCATGGCTATGTACAGAAGCCAGAGTAACACGACGTGTCCTCCTCAACCACCCTCCTCTTTATTTCTGGAGGCCATCGTTCACTGAACCTGGAGACCACTCTTCTCCTAGGATGGCTGGTTAAACAGTGCCATGAATCCGCCTGTCTGAGCTCCTCCACTGGGTTTAGATTCCTGCTGCCAGGCCTCACTTTATCTAAGTGGTGGGACTCTGAATTGAGGTCATCTACCTACCCAGATTACTTTCCTATATTCATTTTCGTTTGACTTGTATCAAGTTTCCATGGAAAGATTGTTATAGACCTGAAAACTACTTCCAGAACAGCATGAAAAGCAAGTCTTTTCATTATCAAATTTCTAACAGACAAAAGAGAAAATTTTTAAGAGTTTATAACTTTTTTTTTTTTTACATCCATTGAAGTAATTTGCTTTCACTCTTTGAGAATACTTAGCTACACTATCAGGAGGGTTCTTACCTTAAAAACATGCATCCTTTTTCTGGAAATAAACAATTTCTTGGTCAAATATGGTTTTCCTGTTATTTTCAAACCCTCAGAACATATGAAGAGGAGACCATAAATACCTAAAAACTGATAAAAACTGTCTATATTACACATATAAGTCTACATTTAAACGATCAACTAAGATAAAGGCCCACAAGTGAACTCCAGGACAGGAACTAAAGACTTCATGGTTTTTTCCGACCTTGCCTTGATTTTATTTTTGAAGAAATACTATATTAATATAAACTTACTTTTTATTAAAAAAAATAAATAAATTGGCTGGGTGCAGTGGTGCATACCTTCAATCCCAGCACTTGGGAACAGAAGCAGGGAGGGCTCTGTGTGACAGAGGCCTATCTGATCTACCCGGCAAGTTCTAGGCCAACCACAACTACAGAATAAGACTCTATCTCAAAAAACGAGAAAAATATATATATTTTAATGAAACACTTTTACCATAAAACTAATTCTAGGGCCAGGCGGTGGTGGTGCACGCCTTTAATCCCAGCACTTGGGAGTCAGAGACAGGCGGATTTCTGAGTTCGAGGCCAGCCTGGTCTACAGAGTTAGTTCCAGGACAGCCAGGGCTACACAGAGAAACCCTGTCTCGAAAAACAAAACAACAACAACAAAAAAAAAAAAACCCTAATTCTAGGTTGTCTTAATGTGAAAGAATTAATATACACAGGCAATATTACCAAAACAGTAAATTTTTTTAACCTAAATACTAAATTTATGTGTGTGTGTGTGTGTGTGTGTGTGTGTGTGTGTATGTGTGTGGTTTTGTAATCCAGAATGACTCTATCCTTGGCATAACTGTCTCAGATTAAGTTAATTATTCACATAAAGATAACAACATCCCTTTACCTAGATTTCCAATACCCCCGTCCTTTACAACAGGCTAAACATTGCCTCATGTTTTAACACAGCATTTGTCTCTGCTTTCTTCCCTTCCTCCTATCCACCTGAGCTACTTCTCAAAGTAGGAAGCTGAAAATTATCTATTGACAAAATTAACAAAAATGAGAAATCAAATTATATCAAATTATTATTACAGTATATACAAATTCTAACTTAGTATCTTTCTATGATGTAAGGCTCTGTAAGCTCTAGTTCTCCCATACTTCTGGAAATCAGAGATGTTTAGTGAAGTTTATACAACTACGTAAGTCTTATGAATCAACCCCTTAATGTCGGGCTTTTAAAATTAGACTAGCATTCCATGTTTTAGAGGTTCAAAACTGGAATTGGAGAGATGGCTCAGTGGTTAAGAGCACATACTGTGCTTTCAGTGGACCCAGAGATTGAGTTCCAATGCCCCACACAAACAGCTCACAATTAACTGTAACTGCAGCTCCAGCTCCACACACTGACAACCCTCTGTCCCTCTCATATGCAGACATGACACGTCCATCCTCCCCACACACCATGACATCCCCATCCTCCCCACACACTGATATGACACCCCCATCCTCCCCACAC